GGGGAAAAATGGGAATTTGGGAATGGGGCAGCACCTGGACACTGCTGGAATGGGGGAAAAAAACGGGAATTTGGGAAAAATCCAGGGAAAAATGGGAATTTGGGAATGGGGCAGCACCTGGACACTGCTGGGATGGGGGAAAAACAGGGAAAAATGGGAAAAAACGGGGAAAAAATGGGAATTTGGGAATGGGGCACCAGCTGGACACTGCTGGGATGGGGGAAAAACAGGGAAAAATGGGAAAAATCCAGGGAAAAATGGGAATGTGGGAATGGGGCAGCACCTGGACACTGCTGGAATGGGGGAAAAACAGGGGAAAATGGGAAAAAACGGGAAAAAATGGGAAAAATCCAGGGAAAAATGGGAATTTGGGAATGGGGCAGCACCTGGACACTGCTGGGATGGGGGAAAAACAGGGGAAAATGGGAAAAAACGGGAAAAAATGGGAAAAATCCAGGGAAAAATGGGAATTTGGGAATGGGGCAGCACCTGGACACTGCTGGGATGGGGGAAAAACAGGGGAAAATGGGAAAAAACGGGAAAAAATGGGAAAAATCCAGGGAAAAATGGGAATTTGGGAATGGGGCAGCACCTGGACACTGCTGGAATGGGGGAAAAAACGGGAATTTGGGAAAAATCCAGGGAAAAATGGGACTTGGGGAATTCAGGACTTTGGGATTTTAGGACTTTTTGGGAATTCAGGAATTTGGGACTTTTAGAATTAAGGATTTTGGGAATTCGGGACTTCAGGAATTTGGAATTCAGGACCGAGAGAATTTGGGAATTCAGGACTTTGGGACTTTGGGATTTCAGGACTTTGGGAATTCGGGATTTGGGGAATTTGGGATTTCAGGACTTGGGAATTCGGGAATTTGGGAATTCAGGGATTTGGGAATTCAGGACTTGGGAATTCAGGATTTTGGGGAATTTGGGACTTTGGGAATTTGAATTTGGGACTTTGAGAATTCAGGACTTTGGGAATTCAGGACTCAGGGAATTTGGAATTCAGGACTTTGGGAATTGGGGGATTTGGGGATTCGGGGATTTGGGAATTCAGGGATTTGGGAATTTGGGAATTGGGATTTGGCTCTCACTAGTGGCGGAACTCCAGGAGCTGCGAGTCGGCGTCGTAGGAGATCAGCAAACAGCGACGGATGGAGTTCAGGTTCACCTGGGGGCACAAAATGGGGAAAAAATGGGGAAAATGGGAAAAACGGGAAAAATGGGAGAAATGGGAGAAATGGGGAAATGGGAAAAATGGGAGAAATGGGAAAAACAAGGAAAATGGAAGTGGGAAAAATGGGAAAATGGGAGAAATGGGGAAATGGGGAGAAATGGGGAAATGGGGAAAATGGGGAACAGGAAAAATAGAAAAAAAAAACAACAAGAAAATGGGAAAATGGGAAAATGGGGAAAAGGCGAGAAATGGGGAAAATGGAGGAAAGGGGAAAATGGGGAAAAAAGGGAAAAAAGGGGAAAATGGGATGGGAAAAATGGGGAAAAAAGGGAAAATGGGAACATGGGAATGGGAAAAACAAGGAAAATGGGAATGGGAAAAATGGGAGAAATGGGAAAAAAGGGGAAAATGGGAGAAATGGGAAAAAAGGGGAAAATGGGAGAAATGGGGAAAATGAGAAAAGTGGGAATGGAAGAAATGGGAATGGGAGAAATGGGGAAAATGGGAACAGTGGGAAAAATGGGAAAAAGGGAAAAACAGGGAATGGGAAAAATGAAAAAAAAACCCAGGAAAATGGGAAACTGGGAATGGGAAAAACAGAAAAAAATGGAAAAATGGGGGAAATGGGGAAAAGGGGAATGGGGGGAATGGGAAAATGGGGAAATGGGAAAAATGAGTAATGAAAAAATGGGAGAAATGGGAAAAATGGAATGGGGAAAATGGGAATGGGGAAAAGGGGAATGGGGGGAATGGGGGAAATGGGAAAATGGGGAAATGGGAAAAATGAGTAATGAAAAAATAGGAGAAATGGGAAAATGGGAATAAGGAAAATGGGAAACATGGAAAAATGGGGAAAATTGGAAAAATGGGGAATGGGGAAAATGGGAAAAATGAGAATGGGAAAAATGGGAGAAATGGGAAAAATGGAAATGGGAAAATGGGAATAATGGGAATGGGAGAAATGGGAAAAATGCCCTTTCCCTGCTCCCAGACCCCAAATCCCCTTTTCCCCTGTCTCCATTCCCAAACCCCTCCAGACTCCAAATCCTCTTTTTTTTCCCCAGATCCCAGCTCCCAAATTCCCAGATTCCTGAATTCCTGGATTCCCAAATTTCCAGACAATTCCAGAATTCCCAAATCCCTGAATAATTCCCAGACAACTCCCAGGTAACTCCCAGACAATTCCCAGGTAATTCCTGGATAAATTCCAGATAAAACTCCAGATAAAATTCCTAAATAATTCTGGGATAATTCCTGGACAATTCCCTGGATAATTCCCTGAATAATCCTCAAATAATTCCACAATAATTCCTGATTAATTCCCAATTAATTCCCGATTAATTCCCAATAAATTCCCGATAAAATCCCGATAAATTCCCGATAAATTCCCAAATAATTCCAGGTAATTCCTGGATGAAATCCCGGTCTCTTCCCTGACCTTGTGGACGTTGAGGGCCGGGAACATCCCCTGGAACATCCCGGCCATCAGCCGCAGCTCCGGCCGCGCCCGCGCCCCGAAATTGCCCAGCACCAGCAGCGGGGGGTGCAGGAACTGCTGCTCGTGCATGCGGTGCCTCCTGAGGGCTGAGACCACGTCACGCACCAGGGAGTACTGGAAACGGGCAGAAAATGCAAAAAAATGGGATTAAACACTGAAAAATTTGATAAAATTAACAAAAACCCCATTAAAATCCTCCCTCAGGAGCCCTGGAACTGCTGCTCGTGCATGCGGTGCCTCCTGAGGGCTGAGACCACGTCACTCACCAGGGAGTGCTGAAAACAGGGAGAAAATGAGATAAAAGGGAAAAAATCCTGAAATTATCCACAAAAAGAACAAAAATTAAAAAAAAAATCCCATTAAAATCCACTTAATCTCAAAAAAAACCCCTAAAAATCCCACTACAATCCTCCCTCAGGAGCCTCGGAACTGCTGCTCGGGCAGGCCGCGCCTCCTGGGGGCTGAGACCATGTCATGCACCAGGGAGTGCTGAAAACAGGGAAAAACGGGAAAAAAATGGGAAAAAATGGGAAAAAATACTGAAAAATTTGATAAAAATACCAAAAATCCCCCCAAAAACCCCATTAAAATCCCTCCTCAGGAGCCCGGAACTGCTGCTCGGGCAGGCCGTGCCTCCTGAGGGCTGAGACCACGTCACGCACCAGGGAGTACTGAAAATGGGGAGGAAACGGGAAAAAATGGGAAAAAATGGGATTAAATCCTGAAAAATTTGATAAAAATACCATAAAATTCAGTTAAAAAATCCCCCCTCAGGAGCCTCAGAGCTGCTGCTCGGGCAGGCCGCGCCTCCTGAGGGCTGAGACCATGTCATGCACCAGGGAGTGCTGAAAACTAAAAAAATCCCATTAAAATCCATTTAATCCCAAAAAAACCCCATTAAAATCCTCCCTCAGGAGCCACGGAACTGCTGCTCGGGCAGGCCGTGCCTCCTGAGGGCCGAGACCACATCACACACCAGGGAGTACTGGAAATAGGCAGAAAATGGGAAAAAATGGGATTAAATCCTGAGAAAATCCATTAAAATACCAAAAATCCCAAGAAAATCTCAAAAAAATTCAATTAAAATCCCCCTCAGGAGCCCCGGAACTGCTGCTCGGGCAGGCCGTGCCTCCTGAGGGCCAAGACCACGTCACACACCAGGGAGTGCTGAAACTGGGCAGAAAATGGGGAAAAATGGGAAAAAATGGGATTAAATTCTCAAAAAAATCCAACAAAACTTGAGAAATCCCATAAAAATCAGCTCCGAATCAAAAAAAAATCCCAAATCCTAAAAATAAAAACCGCAGATTCTGGATCAGGGTGTAATGGGAAGAGAGTTAAAATGGGATGGATTCCCAAAAAAAAATCCTGGAATTGCCTCTGGAATGCATAAAAATCACCCCCAGAATTCCCCCAAAAAAATCTCTCCTCCAGGACGCAAAAAAAACCCCCCAGAACTCCCAAAAATTCCCGGAATTCCTGGACGTACCTGAAGCACTTTGAAGGTCAGGGTGGGACCTCCCGGCAGCCGGAAAATTTTCTGGGAAAGAAGGAAAAATTCAGGAGGGGGGAAAAATGCAGGAAAATCCCAGAAAAATCCTGGAAAATTCTGGGAAAATTCCCAGAAAAAATATGGAAAAAATCCCACAAAAAATCTTGGAAAAGTCCCAGAAAAATCCTGGGAAAATTCTGGAAAAATCCCAGGAAAATCCCAGGAAAAATCACGGGAGAATCCTGTGGAAAATCCCATAAAAATCTCCAAAAAATCCTCAGAAAAATCTCAGAAAAATCCCTGGAAAATTCTGGAAAAATCCCAGAAAAACCCCCAAAACATCCTCAGAAGAATCCAGGAAAAAAATCCCAGAAAAAATCCTGGGAAAAATATTGGGAAAGTCCTGGAAAATCCCACAAAAATCCCAGATGAATCCTCAGGAAAGTTCTGGAAAAATTCCCAGAAACATCCCAGAAAAATGCCAGAAAACTCCTGGAAAATCCCAGGAAAATTCTGGGAAAAATCTCAAACAAATCCTGGGAAAAAACCCCCAAAACATCCTCAGAAGAATCCAGGAAAAAAATCCCAGAAAAAATCCTGGGAAAAATATTGGGAAAGTCCTGGAAAATCCCACAAAAATCCCAGATGAATCCTCAGGAAAGTTCTGGAAAAATTCCCAGAAACATCCCAGAAAAATGCCAGAAAACTCCTGGAAAATCTCAGGAAAATTCTGGGAAAAATCTCAAACAAATCCTGGGAAAATTCTGAAAAAAATCCCAGGAAAATTCTGGGAAAAAATCTCAAACAAATCCTGGGAAAATTCTGAAAAAAAATCCCAGGAAAATTCTGGGAAATTCCTGGAAAAAATACCAGGGAAATTCTAGGAAAATCCCAAGAAAATTCTAGGAAAATCCCAGAAAAATTCTGGAAAAATCCCCAAAAAATCTTCAGAAAAATCCTCAGAAAAATCCCAAAAAAATCCTGAAAAATTCCCGGGAAAATCCCGGAAAATTCCTGACCCCAAACCCCATCCCAGACCCATCAGAGCGTTTACTTTGAGATCAATCACAGATTTTGGGATCAATCTTGGAAAATCCTTTCATCCTCTGGGTCCGACAGGGTTTGGGCCCCCCCGGAATTCCCAAAATTCCCGGAATTCTCACCAGGTTGACGCCGGTTTGGGATTTGCTGAGCGCCAGGAACTGCGTCACCCCCAGGGGCCCGGCCACGGCCACCAGGTCCCGCAGGGAATTGCTGCGGCGCACCTGGAAGGGCAGAATCCCTCAGTGCCCCCCGAAATCCGGGATCCCGAATTCCCGAATCCCAAAAATTCTGGGAGAGAAACCTCGGAATTCCTGGGAAAAAACTTCAATTTCCTTGGAAAACCCCAAAATTCCCATTAAAAACCCCAAAATTCCCATTAAAAACCCCAAAATTCCCATTAAAAACCCCAAAATTCCCATTAAAAACCCCAAAATTCCCATTAAAAACCCCAAAATTCCCATTAAAAACCCCAAAATTCCCATTAAAAACCCCAAAATCCCTCAATGCCACCATTCCTGAGGCACCCCAGAAATCCTGGATCCCAAATTCCCGAATCCCAAAAATTCTGGGAGAGAAACCTCGGAATTCCTGGGAAAAAACTCAATTTCCTTGGAAAAACCCCAAAATTCCCATTAAATACCCCAAAATTCCCATTAAAAACCCCAAAATTCCCATTAAAAGCCCCAAAATCCCTCAATCCCACCATTCCTGAGGCATCCCAGAAATCCTGGATCCTGAATTCCCAAATCCCAAAAATTCTGGGAGAGAAACCTCGGAATTTCTGGGAAAAAAACCGAAATTCCTGGAAAAAATCTGAATTTTCTTGGAAAAAACACATAATTCCCATTAAAACCCCAAAATCCCTCAATCCCACCATTCCTGAGGCACCCCAGAAATCCTGGATCCCAAATTCCCGAATCCCAAAAATTCTGGGAGAGAAACTCTGGAATTTCTGGGAAAAAACCCGGAATTCCTGAGAAAAATCTGAATTTCCTTGGAAAAAACACAAAATTCCCATTAAAAGCCCCCAAATCCCTCAATCCCACAATTCCTGAGGCACCCCAGAAATCCTGGATCCCAAATTCCCGAATCCCAAAAATTCTGGGAGAGAAACCTCGGAATTTCTGGGAAAAAACTCAATTTCCTTGGAAAAACCCCAAAATTCCCATTAAATACCCCAAAATTCCCATTAAAAACCCCAAAATTCCCATTAAAAGCCCCAAAATCCCTCAATCCCACCATTCCTGAGGCACCCCAGAAATCCTGGATCCCAAATTCCCGAATCCCAAAAATTCTGGGAGAGAAACCTCGGAATTTCTGGGAAAAAACTCAATTTCCTTGGAAAAACCCCAAAATTCCCATTAAATACCCCAAAATTCCCATTAAAAACCCCAAAATTCCCATTAAAAGCCCCAAAATCCCTCAATCCCACCATTCCTGAGGCA